TCTGCGTATTCTTCCCCACTTCTGCAGTGGGTAATGAGCGGTTTACCTTCTGATCCGCTGCAATTTTGGCTATGTGGTCGTTTTGAAGGTGCAGAAGCATTCCATGCTTTAACGCAAGGGGCACAAACTTTCAGGGTTCCAAATGGACATACAGGATAATAAGGTTTATCGCATACTAAATGTCAACGAGCACGAATAATCCAAACAGAGGGAGTGTCTTATTGACAATCAAAATGTATTGAAGAGATTTAGAGAGTCCAGCGAAATGTCGTCTATTTGGCAGGCGACAATTTAATATATGAGGTAATTTCGAATGAATAACATCTCAACAAATTCACTTCTTTGGAGTGGCAGAAGCAGTTAGAAGAAGCAGCCACTATGGGGATCTTCCTCTTCTTCGGGTGGCCTTCGATGTGCTTCGGCGCGTCCACCGACAAATGTCCTTTGTCGTCAACCTGTGTACGGACTGTATCCAAATCGACATTTTCAGGCAATAACCACTTGCGCACGAATGATCTAAATATCTCAGATAAGATCCACAAAATATCAGCCACAGGTTTGATTCAGTCTTGACCGCTTCGGATGCTGAAGTGTGTCAGGGGACTGGATTTCGCGCGGCGCTAATCCGTTCTGCAGCAGTTGTTGAAGAGAGCAAGCGATCACAACTGGCGGAAAACGGGCTGGCGCCGCGCCAGACGGAACCAGACACACCCCACGGATGCTGACACGCCCCAGCATCCGCAGCGAACGAGACGGTGTCTTTTCGAGTTTCGCCGAGGAACTGCAGGAAAACTGCGGACTAGGCGGAACCAGTCCCTTTGTGCGAAAATAGTTAGCATGTTTTGCGACCCTTTCCCTCCCCCCCCCTCCCCTCCGCGCCCAATAAAAATGTCGCTCACTGTTTTGAAGTCTTGCGAGCTCTGTTATCGACATGTCGTGGGAAACACTAACGAGCTTTCGTAGCTTCCAGGAGGTTCGCGGAGCTTAGAAAATGCCACTGTTTAGCGCATAACAGATCTTTGTGTACTTACCTATGCAATGAGCTGCTCTTGGTTTTATGCTCCTGCTTGCCCTCGATGGTTAGTACTCGTCCATCCAGGTGTACATTTAGTTCTTCTGGGCGGAACTGAGACACATCCAGCGTGACGGCGAACTTCTTGTCGTCGTCAACGGCCTAAATGAACAGTTACTTTCGCATCCACATAAGCTCAATTACAGGATACGGCAGATTTTAAAGTGCACCTTTACAGTATCGTTCGCCACATGAAGTACCGAATGATCAGCATTTCGCCAGTACGGGAAAATGGCCTTTTCCGTTCGATCAACATCTCGCATAGTATCGTACATAGCACGATGCATAAAATTTGGATTCACCAAATACAGTTCCATGATTAAGTGGGCGCACGGTAGAAAGTCTTTGGAATGCTTAACAAAGAATACTTATCGATTTTGTAATGGTAGAATGCGAACAAATTTCGAGAGCAAGCAACGGAAAAAAAGAGTAATTCATTGGTGACTTCTGTCAAGCAGATGTTCTTTCATTGCGTGGGTTGAGAGGCACTTTGTATCTTCTGGCTGAGCATTTGAAGCAAGGAAAACAAGGAAGACGGGAGAGAAACGAGGGTGAAAAGGAGGGAAAAGGAAGAAACAGGAAGGAGGGGAGACTGCGGTTGACAGAGCCGTTGTTTGACGGGGTCCTCGAGAAGAAGAGAAGAAAGAAGAACCAGGAGGGAAACTCCGCGGTAAACAGATACACTGAGAAGGCGCTTCATTGGGGGGAAATACTGACCAAATTCAGAGGGAAGGGCAGCCTTGAACCAGCGTCAACTGAATATCAGGGTGCTTGATCCTTCATCGTGGCGTGGCGTGTTGAGGTCGAGGCGCTGACGAAGGTAGAAGAGCCGAAACAATGGCCCAGAGGCTCTCTACTCTTGCACCGGCTCCTACACAGAAATGAACGATGCTCGCAGTAACTGCTAGTAAATGGGATAGAGTCATGGTCAGACAGAAGCTTCCGTTGTAGTTAGAAGGGTTCCGTAGGAGAGCAGAGTTCCTCACAAGGTAGGGGTGAGATCGATTCGGGAGGAGGCGATTCTAACGTTCAGAGGAGCTGATGAAATCGTGCAGCACTCGCTGGCCGGTTGTTGATGAAAACGAAGCGAAAAACAGCCATGGCACAGATCGTGAGAGTATACTCGTCCCCTATGTGCCTCTACACGGGAGCAGCGTAAACAACTCCGTTCCACCCTCCCTTCCCAGACAATCGACATCGTGCTGCAGAACTGGCGATGTCTCTGTGCACGTTCCCCATGATACTACCACGTCTAATTGACGACGCTTTCTTGGAATTGGACGATATCGACAGAGCTCTACGTGCTCATGCAAGAAGGGATTCAAAAGCAATAGGTCAACTGGACAAGGTACGTACAGTAATCTCTCTGAATTGTTTTTTGCCCAGCACCTGGAAATCCCTTGCAGGTTGTCGACGATGATTCGAAACTGGCAATCTCGCTGAATGTTGAAGGCTTCAAGCCAGACGATCTGAATATGACTCTTGAGGACCGAGTTCTTACCGTTGAAGGGAAACAAGAGGTCAAGGAGGAGCACGGTTACGCGCTGAGGTACTTATATACTGTCGTTTGTTGAAACCTGAACGCGAGGGCAGGGTTTATATTCTCTTACTTTGGTCCAAACGGGGTTGCAAAACGGAATTAAATTGCTCTGAAGATTCGGCATTTTCATGGGAGGCCGAAGATTCCACAGATCCCATAGAGTATTAGGTCGCCCGTGATGGTTTTCTTAGCAGAAAAGCCACTCCAGGCCAAATATAAATAGTTTCTATGCAGCAGCTTCTTCACTGGAACCTACGAGGTACATTCTGTGGGGGAATAGAATTGGAATGGGTTACTCGGGGGATATTT